CTGGAGTAAATTAAAAAAACTTCCAAACACAATTTTCATTATAAAGAGGAATGAGAGGATTTACAAAAATTTGAATAGAAAAATCGCTGAGGTAGCGAGTATTTTTATGTCATCGTCGTGTCATTAGAAAAATACCAAAATTTTCGGTTAGCCAGTCGAACGAATTTGTCGTAATTTAACATGAAATTGTTGCCGCCTCGTTAAGCACTTTTCAACGGGAGTAAACTGATAAACACTGCGAAAGCGTTTTAAAAATGTTTACGGCTGATCGATCCCGATAATCGACGTATAAAAACGCAAGTTTTATGAATTATTGAGACCACGAACAATAGACTCCCCTCCGTAAATCGTCCGATTTCACGCTTAACTAATAACAATGTTCAGCGTCATTACGATTCTTGGTGATTCTATTATTTCCAAGAATAATGCAACGCGTGATGTTAATCTTAAAATATTACGTATTTGCATAAATATTTTCAATCATCTAATAACCCTGTTACCTATTGTACTTCATTACCGTTACTGTCGCGTCGTAGCAAAATGATCGTACTTTTACGTTCATTTAATTCGACACCATTTGAAATGCTCTTTCGTTGCTTCTGTTTATTCATTTATTCGCAAGTCGACACCTTCTTCGACCTTTGAGAATCAGCGAGAAGACTAACAAGGAAGTCAAGGAGTAACGGGAACTTAAGAGAATTTGTTAGCGAGTTTGTAGCTCGTTGACGGTGGCCTTGTTAATATTTATACAAGTTGTTTTAATTTGTTTATACCGAGGCGACACCGTGAATATTTATTATTAAAATAGGTTGGAAATTGTAGAACTACAGAGAATGGAAATGGTAATAGGAAAGTTCAATTTGTCACTGGTACAATTTCAATTACAGCAAAGAGTTATAGGGTAAACGAAGCTGAACGCTTTAATTTAGAAAATTTACATTTCGTCGCGAGCTTCTGTAGTCGAAACTTTTCCTAACACGTAGCAACCTGCATTTCCCGTAATATCCGCGAGATAAATAATAAATGAATTAACTCGAGATGTCGCGAAACCACGGTAGATCGCTAGCCGCGAGCGTAGCCCAGTTTCTTTTCAATAAATAATAAATGGCAGAGTTGTAAAGATACCGAAAAACAAATTTTTCGTCTACTGTTTTAATCTTTCAAAAATTTAAACCTGTACTGAAATGGATATTTTAAGAAAAGGAACTTCCGTGTGCAAATGTCACGATTAAATTTGAGGAGAAATAATAAATTCCCTGTCAAAATTATTAAAATTAATATACAATGTAGAATAAATAAACAGAACGATGGACTGAAACGTACAACAAATGAAACATTAATTGTTTTTAAGAAGAAAATGCAATGTAAAGGAACTCAGGTATAGGTCGCAGTAGTACGAGTCAAGCATTGGTCAGACCTAAGGAGACACGGTATACGCGCCAGTAGTATAAGTCAATCGTTCGTCAGGCAACTTCTTCCTATTACAAAATTTCCGTTTTGATCAAATTAATGAAACTTTCAATTACGTTGTATGGCATTAAATAATCAATTTTAAAGTATTAAAAATACAATATATGATTAAATAGTTGAATGATCGAGAGCTGTTAACTTTCGATTCGTCGAAAATCGCCACATTGTTCAAGCTAAAGGCATTCCTGCGATTAGACACGTACAAGCGTTATAATTCGCGGCACACATGTGTTCTCGATGCGTTTCAAAATTATGCAACGTTTGCTATAATAACGCCGCTAATTGCGATAACGAATGTCGCGCTATAATTCAACTCCGTGCACTATATACGATCTATGAAAGGTAGAGTACATATTAACGATGTACTATATTAACGATATTTCTTCTACGCATATTCATACGTTCGCTTTAGCGCATTACCATAAATGAAATAGGAACGATTTAACATTGTTATGCTTAGGGATTACTCGAACGTTAGAAGGAAATGAAAATTTCTAATTTAACAACGTATCACGGAAAACGTATCGAATAGAAACGAAAATTAATTATATGGTAGAATGGATATTGAAATAGAATTTAGGTATTTAACGTTCGAACGGTAATAGATGCTGGGTTAGAATACTCATTGCCCGTTAAAATAACATGCGGAATTAACGTACCGGGTAATGGTATTTACGCTTGCGCAAACAATTAATATTCGTTAAACTGATTATCTAGAAACTGGTTATAGTAATTACGATCTCGATTTATTATATGTTATCGATGCTGAATCGTTTATTCAGCTAATCAACGTTAAAATTAATGAAAGAATGTAAAAAAGTACAAATAACGAAGTATGAAGCTAATTAAAAAATTTGTTAAATAATATAATCAATTGCGTTCCTATATTTCCACTTGAACCCATGTTATCCCTTCGTTCAGAGTTTCGTACTCAAGATGTAAGAGGACAAGAAGATCGAGTACCGCAAATATTAAGAAAATCATTCGATAACAGAACGATCAACGAGTTGACAAACGATTTCTATTGAGCGCTCACAAGCACTTTGAGCATCTCTGCGTTGAAAGTGAAAAACACATCGATCGTCTTGATATCGTCCTGAAACGAAAGGAGGTAAAGGAAAAGGGGATTCTTTTCGAACGTTTCAACATCCTTCAGTAACAATAACGAACGTTTTTCGCGTCGAATTGATCCCGATCAACGAGCAGATGGCAAGACTGGAAGGATCGTTCGGTAAAAGATAAAGAAAGAGAGAAACTAAAGGGGAACGTGAAAGAGGAGATAAATCGAGGGACGAAGTGGCTAGGTTCGGTGGTAAAATGTGAACGAAAAGGGACAGCAGAAGCGGAATGACGTAGGTAGTAGCGGGGACACGAATGGAAGATAAATTGTCAGATGAAAGTAGTGGAAAAAGAAGTAGAAATTGGAAGGAAAGAGATTTAAAAGTGTAAAGCAAGGTAAGAGATGGAAGTTGGAATTTATCTTCTCGAGAAAACAGAAAGAATAAAGAAATAAATATAAAGGAATCAAGGCAAGTCCAGAGAGATGGTGGGTGCAATAAAATAACCCGAATGCCTTACATTCTACAGGATGTTCAACGTAACGATCGCCATAATTCTTCGGATATTTCCGATAGTCTGATAAGAAAAATGTTGGACAAAAACAAAAATTATCCAATATATTGATAATATGTTCATCGCTGTTAACTCGCTACCCAACGATACTTTTCTAACTAATCATCGTTCTACGTCTACAGAAGCGGAAGTGATAAAGGAATGATCGTACCATAAATCGTAATGAAGCAAACGAGTAAACGTCAAGCGGATTTCTGGATGGAGCCGAGCGTCGACAGTCGGTGACCGTAAATTCCAAATTAGCGGTCGTACTGCCATGGGATTCATTTGTCTTCATCCAAAGTTATCGTACAGTACTTTTGTGAACACGATACAACGGCATACTGGCCACCGATATGCGAACCATCAATAAAATCAAATGACAGGTATTAATTCACTTTGAAATCCGATTTAGTTTAACAAGTTAAAGAATAGATTGGTAGATGAATTTCATTTATATTTTTAATTTTTTCAGGGAACATTTAAAAAATACTCCTGTTGTGTTTGAGGATCGATAGATACCTTATAAATTCAATCATGATTCAGGCTCGAATTGCAAAATTATTGCAATTAACAAAAAGGAAGAAATTGAAAAAAAACAAATTACCTAAAATATCGTTCCAATAACTGGAGGAATAATTTTTGTAATCTAAAGTAAAGAATCTAAAATACCGATAGATTTAATATTTTCTTCTGACTTCATTTACAATGCTAAACGGTGTATAAGATTTTAAATTTATCAGAATTTAGATAGCAAAAAGAAGTTTAGAAAGGACTCGAGTGATAATATTACGCGAATAATATTGTAGGAAGCAGGTAGTGTGAAATTAACACGTCGGACGGATGATTGGTTGACAGAGTAGCGACGTTTGTCATAACGGATCACGTATCCCGTGCCTTCGTAAGTTTCGATCTTGATGTACGGCTTTAGAGAACTTTGAAGAGCTCCGGTTCAAGGAACCCTTCATAACGCAACTTCAGAAGGCAGAGGATGCGTTCAAGCTCAAGAAGATGACGCTTTAATTATTCCTCTAGTGCACTTTAGGCGTGTAAATTTGTTCATCTTACGTATATTAAAGACCCACGTAATATATACATTCATTAGGATCCAATATATCTAAGCGTAAATGTCTGGAATTAGGGCCCCAACGAGAAATGAATTGAAAAGAAATTCAATGTAGTTTTGCCCCCCGAATCCAAAGCTGTTGATAAAATTTGGGGGTCGCTTCTATTTTTTAAGATACATAGGTTAGGTAAGGTTAGGTTATCAGAAAAAATATAACTTACCTCGCGGCAAAAATTTGACCAGCCAACAATAGTCTCCTTAAAAACAATAACTTCAAAGTGTAAAATTGCTCATTTTATTGGATGTTTTCTCACGTTGCGTCCTTCGCGCTACGCACTCTATGAACAGGAATTAGAACTAAGCAAGGAGACTATTGTTGACTGGTCAAGTTTTTGGCGCGAGGTAAGTTATATTTTATCTGATAATTTAACCTAACCTATGTAGGTTAGTGACGCACTTTAAAAGTATTGTCTACCCCACAAAGTCATTAACTTTTGAAAATAATGATTTTATCCAAGATATTAAATTAGATTAATTAATACAAAAGAAAATCAATTAAATAAAAGGATTTCTGAACATCTTTTCTTTGAAAGTAAATTTTAGCTATGCAAATATAGAATGTGTACCACGTAGCGAATTTAGTTGGCTTTCTCATTTGAAAGTCATGCTTAGTTTGAATAATCTGGTACACGTGAAATGTAAGATAAGTAACTTCTGCAAATGTTTTAAACATATTAAACGATCAATTATATTATGCTTTATAAAATTGGGACCTTAAATTATATGTAAGATAAAATCATTAATTTGTTCGCAATAGTATTAATAATACTATAGTTGATAAAAATGTACTTACATAGTTGGTGTAGAAGTATTCCAACCTGTATATTGCCATTCAAAAGTTTAGAGCAGGCCCGAACGACTTACGACGCGACGCATGTACCGATGCGACTTCGTTCCCCACTCTCGGACGACTACCGACATGCGCACTGCGCACCCGAAGCGTGGAAGAAGAGGAGGGAGAAGGATACGGAGTGGGGGTACCGGCAGTAGTGGGGAGCGCTTCCCGGGCCTAATTAAAAGCATACTATAATTGCAAAAGACATAATATCTTGTTTAATTAAATAAATATTTTACTAGGAATATTTTTTCCTTAATAATCGAACTATAATTGCATCGAACCAATTTTACGAATAAGTTACTTATGGGCAGACACAATATGTTTGATTTTAAAAATTCAATGGATATGCCATGGTTCTAGTATAAAAACCATACATAAACGAGATAAATCGAACGAAAAGATTGGTTTTTGTTCAAGAATTTGTTTGGAACAATCGAACGTGGTAGGAAAACGTACCATTCATTGGTAAAAACAAATTTAATCTTTTTGAATCGAACGAACAATGAATGGTATAGCGTAAAGCAAATAAAGAATTTCAATTCAAAAACATGAAGCCGACAATGAAAACCTCCAAAGTGTAATGGCCTGTGTATGTACATACACGAAGGACGCAAAACCATAAAAATGCAGGCGTTTATTCAATTTCGTTTGGAAACATCTTTTTTATTTAACGTGGTTTTGCTTGTTTCGTAACCACAGTTAGTACCCTGTGGACATTTTCCAAGTGAATAAAATAAAGTTATTTAAAAATACCAACCTTATCTACGAATTAAGCCTCGCCATAGTGTCTGCGTGACAAAGTAACCAACATGCTAGGTAGATACGTGTTCCTTGTAAATCCTCTGGTTTCGAGCGAAATCCCTATAAAAAGTAACAGTTCGGATAGCCATGAAGTGAATTCGTTCACGGTCAGAATCACGTACTTCGTTTTTCCGTGTAACGACGGATTAAATCAATCGAGTGAGGTGGTCACCACTATTTTGCAGGCCGTCAATGACCGTTACGGTACAGTAACGAACTGGGGGCCGGATCGTTAGGGTGATGAATCGGTACGCGAAGGGTTAGCTGCACTGGATACAGGCTGACACACCGGATGACGAAGGACGTGTGTAAATCACACACGTACCAGGTGACTCGAACGATGACTTCCTGGAGTCTGGCCAAACATGGACGAACAGCGACGAGAAAAAGACGGAAATAGAGTGGAAAAGACACAGCGATACATAGCCACCGTGTTCAAGGGAAAGAAAGAAATATTCAGTAGAATTCTAACATAGAAACATGGCTGCCCTATAAGGCAAAAGTACAGAGTGATTAAACAAATGTTTTGCACTCGTTACATATCATAGTACAATATGTAAATGAAGAGAAGCAAGTAAAAATGTTGAGGATTCAGAAGGCTCATGTTTTATGCCTCTTTTTCCTAGAACATTTCATTGGTACGGCTAGTTGGCTCTTTGACGAAGACGATTTTAGCACCGCTGAAGCCTAATTGTAATTGCAGATTCTCCTTTTTCTTACGCTTCCGAGTTTGATAAGGAGATTTCGTCCCGAAAAGACACGACGCGTTCGGAAACCAAGGATGCTTTAGTTCTCTATCCTGCTTTCAAAGTCTGCTTCCGAACTATTCTCGACGATTTTGTAAAAGACTTCTGCGGGATTTCAACTCCTCGCTTGTCATGAACACTGACGAATAAGATGAATATTGATGGTTGCAGATGGTGCTGAATACGTCTTTGAAGCCACCGTCGAAAATGATGTACAGACTAATTCTCAAATTGTTTAGTTGAAATAAAAACTGATACTAGATTATTAAGAGTTACGCTATTTTTCGTTATAACATCCTAAAATTTATGATGATGGATTATTTAAGATGTAGAATTGTTTCTAAGAAGCGTAGACACGAAGGGTAAGTTACAGTCAACTAAGATAACTCAGTGACAGTGAACGATCAGACCGAGTTGTAAGTAAAAGGATGATCGGGGAAACCAAATTCGGATCCGTCGTGGTCTGTTTAGATGGGTGGATACCGTACGTGCTGGTAACGTCTCCGATACCGTTTCAGCCAGCACGTACGCACGAATCTAACCACGGTAAACACGTATACGAAATTTCCTCCGACCTCTGTCTACGTGTTTCCCTGTACGTTGAAAATCCTTTTTCCCAGTGAAAATCCGACCACTGTACTTTGCGATACGCTTCACCGCTGCGTCGTCTATACAGGACGTCTCAAAAATAAATATCAGTATTTTATATCAAAATATGAACCATTAAAAATGAATAAGAGGGCAGCTAAAATTAAGAATGAGTAATAATTGGGTATGATATAGTAAACTAAAGATAGAGAATTTTTACTTTTCCCAAAGTACATCTATTTTGAGACGACCTGTACATTTGCACGATTGCAATTTGAGACCGAACGATTCGACAACTACAAGATTTCCAGGCGTTCCCACTTTTCCTATTGGTTTACCTTCGCAAAACGCGTTTCTCCTTTCCCAGTAGATTCATTCAATTTGTATTCGTATCAATCGAGTGGTTTCGAATTATCCCAATTTTTTTATGCGTTACGAATTGTACGAATATTATATAGATTTCAAATGAAGCTAATTAACCCTTCAATTAATATCGGCAACTATAGTCGTTCAATAAAAAGTATTTACGTTAGTGTACTTACGTTATTCGCTTCGGTTAATAAATTAGTTTCTTCTTTCTTAATCGACCGAATTCATTCTCTTATCGAATTTTCGTTATCCAAAGGCTCCCATCCGATGCACCGCAATTTCCTTCTATGATTTACGATCTCCAACGTTCTGCAGCTAAATCGCCATCTTCCATCCTCCTGGAACTTGGCTCGTTTCGCCACCGCGAGCCATCTTCTCTTAGATGATTTTCCCTCTGTCCTCAACAGTACCACCAATCCTTCTGCCAGCCAGGTACTTCCTGAAACGAGAAATTAGGTCAGCTTTGGGAAGACAGTAATCGCTGCTTCGTCGCGTTGCTGTTTTCCTCTATGACGAACGAAATATTCTGGCTCCTAATAAGGCTTCGGAAAATAAAGGAAAATTATGATCGGTTCGAAGAGCTTCTTCGTTATCCCATCAAAGTGAAACTGATGATAGCGGACAATGAGACAAATCTTCTCCTAAGCCACTTAAGAGTTTAATTATAAACGATTCAGAGATATAAATTTAATTCGAAGGAAAAAATGTGTGAAACTGACGGTAGGAAGTTGGATAAGGATAATAAAATTTTTTTCCAGAATTTTATAACAAAGTTTCACGATCTGAAATTTCACACAATTTACGTGTCATGAATTTATCCTATTTCCCATTTTCTTTCAACCAGCCCCATTCTTCTCTCTTTTCTCTGTTCCTCGTACCAAAGTCGTTACTTTCTCCCATAAGGGTTGAAGTTGCAGCTCGTTACGGGGTTATTCGTAAGTGTACGTGGCCAATAAAAGCCTTGCAAGGATCGCAGTTGGCAAGCTTCCTGAACTTCCGCGCCCAGTCTTAGGCTACGGCCTTACCTTTCACGACATTTGCTTCATTTATACACATAGATCTGTGCAACTCTTGTACCCGTTCTTCCGTGGATTTCCAGCCCGCGAAACACGAGCGTGCACCCATTCCGCCTGCTGAATAAACCCTTAAAGAGGAGTTTGTCGAATTATCCTGTTCCTCCGTCTTTCCTCGAACAATTTCCAGCTACGTTACACGGATCTCAAAAATGCCACGAAACAGACAAAATTGCGATAATGTAACCTGAACTTTTCGTTGATGAACGTTAAGGATGCAGGCTTGTCGTTGGAAGAAATTTCACACCCAAGACGTTGAATGCCATGGAGATCACCGGTGACCTGAAAAAAAAAAAAATAGAAAAATTAGAAAAGAAAGCCTTATTGTGTATTTAATTATATCAGGAAGACTGTCAACATTGAACATCCTCGAAGCAAAAGTTCTTTCTGGTAATTTGCTGCACATGAATTTCCCAGGCAGACAGAATATTTCAGAGGGTTTGTACACGTTTCTTCCTCTTTTCCTTATCAATAATTCCAGCGTTTTCTTTTTACCGTGGCTGAATTGCAGACGAAACACGTCGAAGCCAGGGTGTTCCACTTTTTGCATTATTAATGATTTTTAGCTAGAGCAAAAACAGAGACAAGGTTCGAATGAAATTTCAGTAGTTAAACATCGTTCATCGTTAAACGTTATTAATTGCTGCCACGTAATTTGACGTAATGCATAATAATGGAGCGTAATGTGTGTGTGTTTAATACGACAGCTTGATAATTAACGCAAACGAAAATTCGAAGAATTTCGGAATCGAGGCAAATATTTTCGATTCAATCTCTTGGAATACAATTTAATTATAAATCGCATTAAAAATAATACTATTATTGAATTAATAAGTTTTATATCAAAGCTCATTTTCCTTCAACGTTTTGCATCGTTTCTTCGGAATCAAATAGGTGCACGACGGCACCGTATTCAAACAGAAATGTAAATAAGACGGGTAAGCATGGTAAAAGCAACAAAACTTTGCTTGTGAAACTTCTCTTACACGTAGAAGTTTTGTTCTAAAGGAAAAAATAAAGAGGTACTATAATGAAAATTACACCGTCACCGGTTAAACCCTGCCAGCGTTACTTGCAGAATGAATTTTCTCATTTTTCTACAAAATTAGAAACAGCGTTTCTTGCATTCCTGCAATTGCATACGGTTCTTAAAAATAAAGAGAGCTAAGCGTTTCGAGAGTCGAAATCTCATTGCGTTCCTACCTAATTTCAGTTTTAATTTTCTTTTTTGTAATAATATAATTCCTGTTCCTTTTTAAAAGTTCAATTATTTGTAGCCTCTTGAGCCGAAAAAAGAAATTTAAAAATTCAGTGGCGTTAAAAAGGAATCGCGAGAGCGAGCATTAAGTCTAGTTAAGACTTTTTACTCGTCACGTAAGAGTACGTAAAGATTCACGTAAAGAACCAAAACAGCATTACATTTGCGGTGAAAAATGTAAAGATCAAAGAAGCCGAGTTTTCATAACGCGAAACTAAAATATACATATAAATCAACTCATGAAAAACAGCATCGCGTCGCAGATATCATTGATATACATCACTGCCATCAATGTTCAACCGTGATATTTATTTCCCCACATCGTACCTTAAACTACTCTCCTAACAGGAATTACTACGCTATTATATAGGAATTTTCTCGCAAAAAACACTATTCAGAAAGTTAGAACTATAGCTGTGACATGAAAAAAAAAATTCATTAATGCTGCCATTATTCGTTCATTTATCAGTAGCGTACACTAAACTGCCGTTTAACAAAAATGACTACGCTATTGTATAGGAATTTCCTCGTATAAAAAGCGTTTCAAAAAGTTGGAACGATAGTTGTAACGTGGAAAAAAAAAATAGAACGTTGAAAATGTTGCTATTGTTCTTGGCTCTCTTCAACGTTCGACATTAACGCAACTCACGGTATCTCAAGAGAGCAGTAATTACGCTGATTAATTCATCTTCGAATATTAGTAGGATTTTTGCTTTTGTTCCCGGCTCGAGCGATGGATTTGTTGCAATACCATGGGGAAGCTCGTAAATTAACGACTTACCTCGACTTTCGAACGGTGTCACATGCGACAGCATAACGCCGGATAAACAGAGATACGTGTCAAACGAAACGAGAGGAGGAAAAAAAGAATTGTATGTAACGGGAGAAAAAAAGAAGCGATTCCCGTGTACGGGAGCGTATTTTATCGGGTGGCGTTTACGGTTTCTTCCTTTGTCCTCTATTCTCCCTCACGGATATTGTTTTTTAATACCGGCGCAGGGAAATGCGTTTTTCAAGAAGATATAAATCGATCAACGTAATCGTTTGAGAAATTACTAGGTCGTATGCTTCATTTCAGCGGGTTTTACACCTCTGTTATCCCATTGGAAATTTTATCCTTCTTTTTTTGACTATCCACGCCCTGTAATTAAATTCCGGTGTCCCTAGATCTTTTAGATTCTTTAATTCAAATTCCAATTATTAACACAAATTTTCTATTATTAATTTAATATATTTCTCTCTATTCACTTCGTCGGATAAAAGATTTATTTCCATTCTGTCATAATATTCAATACCGGTTCATATCTCATATCCATTCGCTGTCATAATTAATCAAGCATTTGACAAGACATTTGTTCGAAATTCATTTAATAAAGGATTAGAGAGAGAGAGGAATAGAGGACAGAACACGGAATTAAAAAAAAATAATTACCTTTTATTACGAACGTATTGAATTATTTTACATTCCAATCCGAGATTGGAACTTTATTATTTACACAATTTTAGTCGATTATATTACAAATAAATATTCGTCTTGTTCCTCGAACGCGTTCTCTCTTTTTATACAATCCTTTTCATTTCTTTTTTATTACTAACATTATTAACGTTAACACGTTGACGCGCACGTACCATTTCTTCCCTCCTCTATTAATTACTATTATCTATTTTTATAAATAGGTACACGGATACGTACACTTAATCAAATCAAGCTTCCCCAGGAAATATGCTGATATCCCGGTTTCTCGTCCTTCTCCACGAACGTTCGTGAGGAGAATGACAACACAAGGGAGGAGACCTTCTACATATACAACGCTGAAACACATATCTATCGTCAAAATACTTCCTAAAAATCAAAACCTGAACTAATACAAGATCAACAACGATATCTTTTAATAAATTCGTTTATTTAACTTATAAATAAATAAATAATGAGCTATGCGATACAGAGCACGAACATCGTGAACGCCAATAAGAATAAATATTTCAATAAGAAGACGCATACACCTTGCACGCTGAAACGATTAAAATAATACTTGCATTTCATTAATTAACTACCACAAAAAAAAACAACGTATCTACCACTCACAAAATTTTGCTTAACAATTTTATTCACCCTTACACAGATACTTTCAAATGACAAAATATTCGACTTTCATCTTGGTGTGTCCCTGCGTATCGCTGCAGGGTCACACGATACTTCCTAAATTGGCGTTTAATAACTACTATGTACAAATCCATTAACGATTGATTAATGGTCGAGCTTTATTCGTCGGGGCTAAACAATGGCGCTGATGATGACTACGAACGATGTAGTCGTCGGGAAAAATCTCGTCCCCTTTCGAGCGCAGGGACCACGATACAAGTGGTCACAAAAAAAGGAACGTTAAATCATGAAAACGGCCAAGATCAAAAAGTACCCGAGTCAGCATTCTCCGGAAGCCATCGGCGAGCAGATCCGAGAGACAGGTAATTGTTAATCTTCGCCCGGTACAAAAATAGAGTAACTGCGATCGTTTTCGACGTCAAAGGACTACCGCCAACTTTTACATCATTTCTCGCGATTTTCTAATCTTTCACTAATGCATCGTCGATCGAAAATTGCCGACTAGAATTTATTTTCCAAGTCTTAACCCATTACGATCTATCAGAGTGGAACTCTGTTTCGATTACGAATTTCTTTCCATTTCCACGTAAAATCGGTAAGCACAGTTACTCACTAAACGTAGAATGTATCGCGAAATGCATGCTTCTCTATTTCTTCTTATTTTTCTTCATTTTTAATTCATAATCGATCGCTATACGAGCACTCATACAGGAACAACTTTAAATTATGGAATAGAATCCATGGTATATCTGTAATTACAAATGATCCACTAATTTGTTGCTGTATGAACTAACTCTGCGAAGATGTTACGAAATATTATCGTTCAATTGAACACGAGTATTCGGTGGGTTGTATCTCGATAACGATCAACTAAAACAGCGTATTTATTCTTTGTTTGTAATCTCTTGTAAACGTTTGACTGTTCGTTAGAAAATTCAATTCGATTTTATTCAACACGATTAATTGATTTCCTATAAAATAAACAGTTCATTTTGGTCGTGTTGCCTCATATTAGAAGCAGATAGGAGAGAATTATATGCACGTTTGAACATACTGATAGATCAACGCACGTGACATTATTTTTTTTTTTTTTTTTTAAATTAGCAAACACGTTTTAAAATGAACGATTTAAATATCCGTGATCGCGAAAATTTTATAAAACATTGATGTAGTTTAAATATCACGTACATCGATACATCAAATAAAATAGTAGGTATTCTAAAAAGGCCGATCTAAGACAGAAAATTTAACAACGCCTGACTAGTTGTATTTAGAGAAACAATTTAAGGCAATAAATAAATAAAAATACGTAATATATCTTACAAAATTAACAGAAAGTTATAAAAATTAGTAATCTTGCGGATAAAGGTGACCGTTCTATCGAAAGGAAAATGGGAAAATGTCCTTTTCTCTTTTTCAGAGAATTCGTATTTCAAACGAAAAATTTTGTTGCAAATTATTATCTATTAAATTAGATTTTTTCTTCGAACCTGGAGCAACAACTTCGTGGGGGAGTGTACAGTATCGAGCAAAGTATGCTTCCCTAGGGAAAATGACGAAGTGTCACCCTCCACCCTCGCATAGGCTTACTCGGTTCCCGGATTTCCCCGTAGGTTTGCCAGCATGAGAAACAGTATGGAATATCGTGAAACATTCTGTTGCATCGAACTTCCATCGATTCTCGATAGAAACAGAATTCGAAAAGGTCTAATGATGAAACCTGCGGGTTTCAACGCACAGGCCACCCATTGACCGTGTCAATTAACTGGCACGGTAATTACTCTGCAATGTCCATGAATGTGAATACTAAATTACAACTCTGACGAGCGAATGAAAGGCCAACCACGACCCTTTCTTTTCCCCTTTCATCCTCTGGCTTTTATTTCTCCCGTGACATTCCAGTACGCGCACAGTTGGACAAATAAAACTGAATCCACCATGCCTGTTATCGCTATATACCTTGTCTCTGCATGTTTTTCTTTATTTTATTTTCTTCATCACTTTATTCTCGCAAGATAACTTGTTCGATTTCTTAGGAAATTCATTTCTGAGAACAATAATTTTCTGTAAGATAATTCATAATGCAATTCAATTAATCAATAATGCTTTTTTTCATTGATTATTATTGTCCAAGGCTTTCCTTTCATATCGATTTCTCAGAAATTCAATTTCATTCGAGAACCTTGCAAATCAATCTATTCATTAATGAAAATAATTAGGAAATTTCTTAAAGAGCTTCCAATTGTTATTGGATAATTTTTTTACTATATTTTTCTTCGATGCAATGATTCTTTCTGAAAATTTACTGCGTCGTACTTTTATGAGAAATCATGAAAACATAAAACATTTTTCAATAAAGGTTCCCCGGACAGAGATTTATATTTTCGTTCAGTTTCGAACACGATATTTCAGTGGTGCAGAATCGTAACCCACCAAGTCCTTTACTCATAGACAGCACAGTCGGCATACACGTGCAAACTTACTATTTACCAACAGTATTTCCTTTACCATGGTCTAAAGATAAACTAGTAACATTTTGTTGACAGGGAAACTAATATTGAGCATCTATCCTTGAAACGATACCGAACTATATGGATTTGCTACCAGGAAACTAAATTACGTAAGGTATTTATTTAATTTATCTCATATATTATTAATCTTTGATATTTTTAAAGAAATTTTAAAGAAAAATTAATGATCAATAATATACTCGATGCAAATAGTTTCGAATCGAAGCGATGTGATACTGTTTCTCGATTCAACTGAATGATCTTTAGGTCCGAATTCGAGTCGCCTAATCAACAATAGCAGTGTAACGATCTATTTGTCACGCGTTACAAGATATATCATGAAGCTTATCGCGTGATGGAAATGTGCATAAATTACACACATCAACCTCGTATCCGTATCTTCCTGAGACATCCGTATTCTATCGAATCGTAGTATACCGGGTGTCTCAACGAGAGAAACCTTTTTGTATTCTCCTCTTTCGAAAAGAACCACTGAGATTATAAAAATAATTTTAAAAAACAAATTACGAAGATTCGAAGGAATAATTAATTTTAAACTTTATCATTTAAATAATTAAGTTCCAACACTCGACGTATAGAAAATAAAAAGGATAAATAAAATTTACAAGTTTTTAAACTGAATGTGCCTACGTGTTATCGTTCGAAGCTGCTGCAACAGGTTGTTCGGATGAATCGAATAAATGGAATAATATTCAAAGAAAAGAATGGAACAACGTACATATATCGAGGACGACAGTTCCCACGTTAAGATAGAAAACGGCACATACCAAAAAGAGCGAAATCCTCTTCTGGCAGTGATTTTTCCGTGATCGTGGCACGTGTGACACGCGATCACAGAAGGAAAATCATTTTTCTCGGCTCTCTCGCTGGCTGCTTGCTATTTAGAGCGGGTTTCGAAACGGTACGTGCGCGAAAATCACACCTCGTCGAAGCAGCTGACACGCGATCCATTTCCTCTCCGTTTTCCATTACACCCTGTCCCTTTTCCACCCCTCTCCTACCCAACCTACCTTCACCTTCCTCGTGCAAACATTTCGAAAAAAACGATCGTTTTTCCCGCCCAAAACGTATCCTGCTCTAGCATTCACTCCGCGTTTTCCTTCTCCGAATTTTTAACAGCCTTTTCTGATATTTTCGAAAATGGATTCGCTAGTTCTTGAAAAAGTCTTCGAGCAAAGGTGGAGACACAAAACTAACAATAAATTTCATTTCAAAAAGAGACTCGCCATACACCTGTTCCTCGTCTCAGTTTCTCATTTATCGCCGAAGCAATGTAATATCTGGTCGATCTGATAACTGATTGCCTTCTTCTCTCCAGGGAAAACCGAAGTCCCTTCGAAACAACAAACTTCAGAATTCTGTCTTTCTCCTCCGGTCTTCTTAAACCTGTCTAGGTACATCGCTATCGAAAATTTCTTTACTGAAAAGGACGGTCAATGCCGCAGCCCTGTCTCCATGTAACTTTCTTTCACCCACTACGCTGGAAGTAATTCCTTTTCAGTGGAAGAATCAACCGTTTGAAAGACTCGTCCCGCCATCTTTTCGCGTTCACACCGATAGCCGAGACGCTACCGGAAGCATCCTCTTCTCGCCGCTTTTCAACCCCTGTCGCCTCCTTTCGTCTTTCCAGTTCACTTGAGTGCATAGAGAATGCCACTCGTTCACTCTGTTCTGTAGATTCCGATCATGACATTTCATCTTCTGAAATAACAGCTAGCATTCCTTTAGAAAACTTCAGGCGATCAGTTTTTCATTTTAAAATGATTCATTCATGTTTTTCGACGCCTATCCACCAGTTACGAGTCTCTTTGATTTTTTCTTCTTTTTCAGCGACCAACATTCCACCTGGTTCCGCGAACATTTTCCGAGCACTGTACACGAAACAACCCTTGTAACGAGCGCTCCACTTGTCGCGAGACAAGATAGAAAGATGCTCGTCGCGATGATACCGAGCTTGGCTCGTCGATTCTGTTCGAGGCGTATAAATGTGAAGCAAGTTTATTTATTTGCAGGTTGTTGCTTCTGAAAATATTTCATTTAATTCCTCTTTTCGTTGGAAATACACGTGCTAGTGGCTGGTGTTTCTAGCAAAATATACGGTATTTGTACTTTTAGTGACTACCTCGTCACAAATCCTTAGTCTTCTTCAATTCTCTGTCGATTCGGTATGAATAAAACTGATAGTTCCAAGCAATCAAAACATAGTTTACTCGCTAATTGATAAAATTTCGAATTTCTTTACTCTAAATCTGATTTCTTTTCATATTTCTAATGGAAGTAATTTCAACTTAATTCTCTCCGAATTCTTAGATCTTTTTTCGGTGTCTGTCTTGAGCTTTTTACAGTTCATGGGTGAGAATTGAACGCATACTCGATCGATCGGTTCGAGATGTCTGGAGTATTGGTTGACAGTGGTACTTGATAACACCGAGATAAAAATAGAACTTATTTCGACCTGTAATCACGGCCTTTTCTAAACGATTATCCGATGCTCTCTTCCCAGATTGCAACTCTGTTCTTTCCTTCACGCGACACGCGAGACGTATCCAGATCATATTTGATCATCCACTGGACCACGATTCTTCGTCGGCCCTTTTCAAGGAAACAACGTGCACGATATTCGAAGGCACGTTCTCGAGCTCGTTTGGCGCCAAGTTCCGGCCGAAAGTTGGTACGGAGAACGTGGCGAACTGTCCTCTACCCTCTCTGTTATTATCCTCCTTCGATCTTTTATTATTTTTTTTTTCTTATTCATAGTAAAGAGTACTCGAGAAGCTCGCGTGTGCGTGCCTCGTCAATTTTCCTCATTTGATAAAATGAAAAAAATACACTCTGGCGAATCTGAAGAACGGAGAACGAACGGAGGGCTTCAGTTTCAGCAGGGTGCTCGCGGTGCACGGAAATCGTCCCCTCTTTCCGGCTACGAGTGCTGCTTGATCGCCTTACGTGAAGTACCTCGCGAGCACCGCCAACACCACCGCAACCATCGTCGACGCTCTCAACGTATTTGCATCGCTGCCGATCGAGCACACCTTTTCCGTGTAAGCCCCGCAATGTTCCTGGAATCAAACCAAATTACGCGATGCTCAATCACTGGATTTACTTTGTCCTCGACGAGAAACGTTAACCAATCGTCCGGTCTCTCCTTCATTTTTATTTTTATTTTTATTTTTTTTTTTTTTTTTTGCAAAATCGAATATGTAACAGTATCGAGCAACAGAGCACTATTCGAATGTAAATTACATTTAATATTTTATCCTTATTATTAATATCTTGTAAACGATCATTTTGAAGGGTAACCGTTGAACAATTTTGCGAGATATGCAATGGTACACAGCGGTGGCTGTGCATCCGACAGTGGTAGCAACGATATCCAGCTAAGCGGAAGTGGCAAATATTTACCTTCAGAAGCGAGATCGACATTCTGTCAAGGAACTCCTTTGCAAATTGAGCCGTGTCATCGCCACATTGCCGACGAACCGTGTGATGGGAGCATTCCAAAAACTCCTTGAACCCACTGCAACAGACACATCTCACTTTCCTTAATTCCATCATATTATTCAACTTTAAATTTCTATATGAAACACAGAAATTTTATCTAAAAATTCTAAATTGTATGAAAAAAAAAAATGTTTTATGTCAGCGACAATAAAAAGTTTTAAATTTGAAAAAAGTTGATCTATATTATAGTGTACCATTTCCAAAGGCAATTTTTGCTGCACCAATGTTTAAAAAAAAAACATAAAGGAAAATGTAACACGTATAACGTTCGATATGCGTTCAGCCTCATTGTGGAAACGCGTTCGTGACTACTTTTTCTCCGCGTTTGTGTTTTTGACCGAACCGTGTAAACACGAAGCGAGGGTGAATGCTTTTCACGCTGATGGTTGTACGTATACACAGGACCTAATGACATTAGCTTATCTCCGCCACGGTCTGTTGCAGCTTTTGAAATTGTGCATCGTTCGATAGGAAAAAAGAATCCAAGGTGTGAGCGCGAATAAATGCGAAGGGAACGGAGATAGTAAACTGGAGTCAGAGCGGCGAAAGAAAATGTACAAACGAAACTGTAGGAAAAAGGAATTATTAAACGATCAAATCTGTGAATCGAAGAGCAGTAAGCGATAGTTTAATGAAAAAAATAATGATTAACCTTTGTACCTGGAGGAAAAAGGGAACTACTACTGCAAATATTGTACCACGTATAGACAAAGTCCTTTTACATAGCTTTGAAAAGGATAATAAAGTTGCAGGTGCGTACGTACATAGAATAAAAGGGAGGGATGCTAACAAACAATATTTGCAGATAGAGATGACAGAGAAGTAAAATAACAAAGAGATGAAAAACAGTAAAATAGAGAAAAGATCGGGATGGTGGAGAGAGAGGAAAATAGGAAAGGGAGGGCAGGTATTAAAGAGAGTGAAACAAAGTGGAAGCTAGTAAAGGAGGGAAAACGTTGGGAACAGAAGGAAACAAAACAGAGGTAGAAAAGTAGAAAATGAAAAAAACAGCGGGCATAAAGGGAAAAGTGGCAGATGCGGTAGAAAGTGAACTGAGCCGGAGTAAGAGTGGCAAAGGCTGAGACACGCGAGAGGTAAAAAACGATTTCAAACACGTGGGACTGTGTATGAGCCAGCCTCCTTTAGCACTCTTATTCCATAAATTCAATTGCACCCTTCGCTGTGCATTTTTACATTAAATCTTTTTCTATGCGTCCTATCGCGTTTAACGTGCTTAACGGGATAAATTCGTTCAAAGGGAATGCTTTCAAGCTTCGCCCACTATCCTCGCCAATTTTTTCTTTTTTTTTTTTATAATACCTTTTGTACTCCTCTGCGTTCACAAGAAATTTTGAAAAATAAGAAAAATTATACGTAGGAGATTTTAATCAAGAATGACATCGGACTGTTTAATTGAAGATATTAATTTTCCTAATTTCATTAAATAAGATTATAATGAAATTTTCAGCATATGAAAGAGAGTTTACCTAACTCTACGTTAAACACTCGAACGGCCAATATGGATCGTATAATATCGATTATACGTTCACTGGCTTCGCTATTCATAAGAGAAATACTAAAATGGAAAGTAAACGTTTAATCACTCTACGCGAAACCGTCAAAGCAACGAAGACCACGAGTTTCGGCCGTGGTTCATGCTAAATAATTCACAAAGCGTTCTCTGCCTCTTTAGCTAACAAAACTTTTTAATCACCTTCGGGAAACACATATTATCGATCAATTTCGTTAAATAAATCGAAACTATATCGTTTATTTTTGGATATAGAAAATTAATTAACCGGAATGACTAACGTATTAATCATAAGTGATTGATGCTAATTAGAAATACCAGTATTATAATGCAATTGTTTGTGAAAATGAAGCTCGCAGGGTAATGTTACATGCAAAATAGGGGTATTGTAATGGAACTTATTTTGGAGAGTACAAAATAGTGTATAACACTGGGAAACTGAACAAACTTTCTGGAGTAGGGAAAAGTTTCAGATATTTCAAAAAGCTGTAGTTAGATAATTAACCCCAGGGTACTTTTGACAAGCATCCCTTCGTTATTCAGTTCCAAGCACTTTAGCAAGTTCAAACCTGCACTAATTTGTTCCCTTTAGGGTAGTTAGCCTGAAGATTAATATCAGTTTCGATACAATAAGCAGCGACGGTAGATGCTTTCGTATCCTTACTCGGTAAAACATATTTCTTCTTAACGAAATATTAACGTGAAATGTTTGCAACTGCAAAAAAACGGTGCTTATATCGCGTGGAAATTAACGGCGGATGCAATCGAGACATTAACAGAAGTCAAGGTTAGTCTGTAACTTTGTTCCACTATACACATTCGATACAGATACATTAATATTAATCACGATTTGCATACTATAGTACTGCATGTGTGATAGACAAACGTGCGTCATTAACAAACTTCACGAAAAATATCCTAACCGTGTCGGAAACGACTGATTTTCAAATGTAAAAATGGTAAAAGCATATCAAACGATATCTGAAGTCAAACTCATTAACTTCGTAAAAAAAAAATAGAATAATGATGAAATTTCGAATTTATTATTTAACCGATTATAACATTACTGATTACCTTCATTTTTTTCTTAAAATTGAAATAAAATAGTTTACATTATATCCAGATATTGCCTATTTTAGAGAAATGTGAGAGAAAAATATTTTTTTCCATTCAAACTAATTGTAAGTCAAATGGTTCGCGCTTAACATGAATGGAAGAAAAGAAAATACTCATGGCAATAGTTTCTCCCTCGATAATGTCTGTACAGAAAGTGTTTTCGTCCGAGAAATTAGCCGTTTAAGAGATGAAAGAAGAACCCTTGAGGGATTATAATTTTCACTCACCAGCAAAGAGACTTAAGAGACGCGTTCAGGCTCGCCGTGTGATTGCTTCTTTCAATCTCCTGTGTGGTTCTGTGATATTTCTTCGAGCAAAGCTCGTACTCGGGCTGCACCTTTTGCATGCAAGGCGCGTGCTTCAGGAATTCTGCAAACAGACAGAAAAGCGGACGATGAAGTTGCTGCGCCGAGGACACGGAAAATTGAAAAAGTTTCACCACAGAAACGCGGCAAACATTTTAACACGTATCCATTCTATATACGGGCATTTGTATTTTAAATTTCATTAAGAAAGTTTTTTAAAAAACCTTCTTTCAAAATAGATTTCCCTAATTATAATAATAATAGTAATAATAATAATAATACCGCAGAGTTTCGTTCGTCGTTCACATATCGTCATGTTATTAATATTCCTGGGGGTTCTCTCTTGGTGGATCGAGGGAAAACTTGAATAAACATAATAACATTAATAGCAGAGGCGGCGCCAGAGGTAAATCGAACATGTCCATCGTTTTTGAAGTCCATTACCAATATTGACCAACGTGGGGGAGCGAAAAACTGTACACACCCCGGCAGGAATCGCTTTTACATCTTTTTCATTCGGTTCGATCGATTCCCGATACTCTACCGTCTGGACGTTGCAATTAAAAACGAATGAATTAACCGATCGTTGGGGAGGGTAGACGCGATATCGCCAAGGTGGCAGCGCGATTCGACGTCAACGAATAAACTGAGGCCATTCGACGTCGATAATCGGCCTCGTTACCGGTATTGCTCTCTTAACGAGGCGTTAATCGCGTAACCGATTTCCAGATACGCTGTACAGATCGGGCGGGTAGAACTCGATCACCCTTCAAACTCAATAACGTATCCACCCCTACCTCTAGGGACTCGGAAACTACTCTCTGTAACGCGTGCATCGCTTGCGAAACAATAACTGGCTAACGCGGCATTTTACATTGGAAAAACTAGGACGTACTGCAATTGATCAGGAACAAGTTGAAACACCTATTAAGCCACGAAAGTGCTAACAAAACTGGTTACGGTTAAAATAAAATTAACGTAAGTATTCCTAAGTGAACAGACAAAACACTTTTTCCCTAGTTAATAAAAACATAAAATCTATTATTTTAAAAAAGAAAGAGAAAAAATTTCAACGCAGTTTGTAAGTACATTCGGTTTGAAATGTTCAGTAATTTTTCGAAACTTTTTACACGATTCGTGGAAAGTTGAAGCAACAGAATGTATTTTCTATCCGACGATTGTAGAATACAACGGACACGATAACGAGCTTCGAACATAGTGCACGTACTCCTAAATATCTCGGGGGATTCGGCCGAATCTAGGAGTAATTGGGCAAACAAACGAATGGCCACGAGAAAGGATGCATTATTTCGTTTTCTCCTATGCAAAACGATGCGAAGATCGGAGTGCAGTAAAATTTGGATGAAATTATCCAAGAGCAAATGGACCGGTGGTTAGAACAGTAAATATTCATCTGGAAGAGAATAATTTGTACAGCCTAGTCATTGGGACATTAGGATTGTTACAACAGTAATCTCATGATTACTAAACCAGCTAAATCGGGACCGTTTCTGTATTAAGGGTTCTTGAGATTCTCGAAGACAATCGGACAGATTTCGAGATATCGACGAGTTAAGGAACAAGGGTCAACCACGAGGTATTCGATCCAATAACGCATTCTGTACATTCGAGATTACCGGAATATCGTGGCTGTGCCCGGTCTCGGATTCTGATCGATTCGAACGTTTCGGAATCTCAGCAGTGTAATCAGAATTCAAATTAAGTTGTTATTTGGTACGGTCAACTTTAAAGGAAAGATACCCTTTAAAAACCGTAAATCTAGCACAAGGGTTGACTTCGTAACATTTAGAAATCTTCTAATTGTAGTGTATAACGTAATGGTACAACAATGGAGTTGTTCTACTTACCGTCCTGATAAGGGCCATCTTGACACAGCTCCATGACCACCTTGTTGGTACCAGCATACAGGGAGCTGAAGTGTTCCCTTTGTTTCTCCTTCATGCAGTCGAACGTGTACGTCTGAATACACTTTATACCAGCCTCGAAGTCTCTGCAACAGCAAAGAAAAATTATTCGTGGTAATTATCCATGAAATTTTGGCTATTTAACCTGTTAACCTTTATTTATGAAAAATTTGTTGATTATATTAAAAAAGACTCTATCTTTTATAATATATTAGCTATTTATTATTAAAGTGAAGTAACTCCATCTTTTTTTTTTTTTAAATTTCATTTCATATTGCATTAGCTTTTATGATAATAATTAAAACGATTCAATCATTGACAATGAAAGATTAAAACGTTACATTTTAATTATAGAATACAAGATATAAATGTGTGATTGATATTTCGGAACACAGCACAGGAAATTCATCTATAATAATAAAATAAAATTAAAACGTCCATACAATACGTAATTCTATTGGAAACGTTTTAATTTTTAATCGACAGTGATTGAATTATTGAAACTTTTATGACTTATACCTTTGAAAATAATTCATTTGTTTCAATTCCTATTATACACGTAAACGATGTTTCAATCATTATTTTAAAATATATTCTGTTCAACGTTAAATCTTTTTAAAATATGAAATATTTCACAGCAATTACAATTTGTAATACCTTCCCTTACATTCCTTTCCTAATAAAGAAAAAATCAATTTAAGGGGTAGTTTTTCTTGAATAAATTCTTGAATAAGGTCTTTCCTCTTGCATTTTTGAAAACACAGCATTGGAAATTCAACAGCTCGTGAAATTATCGAAATAGAGACGACACTTTTCAAATATTGGAACTGCTACGAAAATCTATAATAGAACGTCCATCATTTTTAATCGAGCGAAACAATTGAAACCAGGTTACGCGGGAATCCAACGTTCCTCCCGAGGCGACAATTTCATTATCACCAATAACAGGTACAATAAAAAAAGAAAAGGAAGAAAGAAAGGTTCCAATAACGGAAGCTGGAAGCAATTATCTTGCTGTTGCTTATTGGAGAGATCCCCGACAGTTTCCCTTTTATTCCCTTTAACCTTCCGTCCGTGGTCGAGTATCACACCCCTATCTGGAAAGGCACATTTAAATTTCAGATTTCAATTTCAATTTCACGGAGCCAGGAAATTGAAGAAACGGTGGAAGAACGGTGCATACACGAGTCGATGCTTTCAAAATTTAAGATTATCGCTGGATCACCACTCCTTAGGGGGAAACCGAGTTCCACGAGGAATATAAATTTAACCACTTAACTTCTTCGCACCGATAATAATGACAAGAAAATTCTCTCAATTCGAAAGAAAAAAAAAACACAAATATTTAAACCTGATAATACTACAATTCGCACCTAAGTAAATTATTTCAACGCTTAAAATTGTATAAACTACAGGGTTATTCAAGAAAGATCCACTCTCAAAGTGCAAAGCTGTTCAAATATTTTCGAGATATTTAATAAGATTATCAATTTAACTTTCGCTCGATTTTGCCACCCAACCCGGGATTCCGTAATCTCATACCCACGGAAAGAAATCGCGGTATAATTTCCCGAGTGCGGAAATTTATGGCTTATCGAAGCGGTCTACCGTCGCTACTTGGAAAATCACTTCGGCGGTTTACATACGAGCGTGTATGCGTACATTATTGTTCCACGATATATTCGGCCGATATTTTCGAATAATTCTGCACGAACGAAGCTACGGTTTCATATTAATATTTCGAGAATTGTATCAATAAAGAAATATACCAGTTGATTTCGATATTTCATAAAAATATCCCCGAGCTTTATGCTGTTATTGAATTTAGTGCGGTACACCTGTCGTTAAATGTTTTTTTCAGCTAAGCTGCAAAGAAATGGACAAATATAATACTTGCTGTCATAAAAACATCGACGATTTTATTAAATTTTTTTTCACACGTAAAGTTTGATTTCCCGCTAACCAAAAATTGATTAAAAATGAAATTTGTGCCCCCTTCACTTGGGGCAACGATTTTCAAAAAAAATCCACATCGATGTGGATTAATAAAATTCATCTGGCACGAAATGAGAAATGAGAGATTATACTTGCAAAGTATGACCATCGATGTTTTTTGAAAATTAAACGAAAACTCTTAAGAGGCTATTTGAAACTCCAAAGAAATCTCAAGCCCTTCCTTCCTGAAACTTTCGGCAAATTAGTAGGATGGCCTATTAGAATTCTCTTTCAATCTTCGCAACTCGTTTCTCAAGTGGTTTCAACGAGAAAATAAACGATCAATTCGGACGAGCGTACACGTGTAAAAAATGCAAATCGTATTAAAGTTTCGTCGATTGATCCAACAATTATCTCGACCACCGGTGAAAATCCGTTTCCCATCGAAATTCTAACGAACTTTGGGTAAGCAGAAATGTTGGAATACCCTGTCAAAGTTCAACAATTACTTGATAAACATCTTTCTCCAGTTTCCTGCGTTCGACAAATGCCGCGAACTCGAGGAAAAAGCAGAAAATGAATTCATCACTAATGCAAGAACAAACGAACAGATGTAATTCGATTAAAGTACAGCAAGTTCTAATGTACTTTATCTACTTGTTCAATCTCAAGTTTGAATCTAGGTATTTCAGATTCTTTTTTAAATTCCAACATTTTTTACATTTATTTCCTTTTTTAAATAAGATAAAATATTACTATAATAATTTTCTTTTCGTGAATTTGATTGTTTATATTATTGTCAGATAAAATGTTAATAAATGAAGTAAAAACAAATATTAAATCGTGCAAGAGGAGATTCAGAAGTGCATTTCTGATAGCAGGTAATTTAATTGGTCCTTCTCTATCTATCCACCGTTCGATGTAATTATTATTGACAAATTCTCGAGCAATATTGCTGGGGTGTGCTCGAGCTCTGTCATGCATAAATCAAATTCGATAGCGAGTCTCTAGAGCGGAATATCTTTTAATAATATAGATACTCCCCCAAAATTGAAGCTGGTTCAGCAAGGAACTTTATACGTCTTCTTGAAATAAAATTTTAACGCTCGTAACACCGGTTATAATTTCAGAAATTAACAAATTTTAGAATACAAATATAAAACGTTACGAGTGTTCTTACTAAATAAATTTGTGAAACAAACATTTTCAATTCTACAAAAATTAGAAAATCACAAAGAAAAAATAAATTCCCTCTGTGCCCCCAGATTAATCCAAGCAGACAGTGTCATTAAAATTTCATCGACTATTTCCGAAACATCCTGTACACAAATTCGTCAAGGGGAAACTTACGGGCATAATCGTTGCAGATCCTCTTTCTTCGTTGCGAAGCTCAGGTCGCTGTTGCTAATCCTCTCGAAAGGCCTTCCACACTTCACCAATCTTTCGTGCCCGCATTCTTGGCTCCGACAACTGCCGAGCACTGAAACAGAATAATAACAACGAATCAGTAAAGAATTTATCTGAAAATAAAGAAAAAAAAAAAAATGATCCCTTAAACGCGGTACCGTAACTTCTATACAATTGTAATCCATTGAACTTTCCATGCTTGAAAGAAGTTTTAATCCGTTGCATACACTTCAACTTGTCTCGCGAGTTTTTCATTTAAACTGTTAATCAATGCGATTTAAAGTACCTTATACAAAGATAAATTCTAAATAAACTGTACAACTGTCCCTTCATTTGCAACTACAAACGAGACGATGCTGAATGAAACAAACAAATTTTCCAACAAGAGAGAGACAACGATTCCGGTGGACTTTTGCTAATAAATTACTCACCAGACATTTTAAATGAGAAACGTCGTGAGAGACGTCTGGGTCACGATTTAACCGGCGTATTTTTAACGAAAATTAAGCGACGATTGAACGTAATCAGACGTAAAGTGTTTGATTACGGTAGCAAAGGACACCTGCACCCACACACCGTGACAAATCGACGTTTGAGTCTGTTATATCGAGGGAGTCGAGTAACGGGGGCGTTGGTACGGATGCACTACTGTACGTCCGAGCAATACCAGCTTGATCCACTTGAGCCTTGGCTCGTCTTTTTCCAAGGATTAAAGGAGATTACGCGTGGCCAACAGCCGCTAAGCTAACGAGAATTTAGCTAACGTTGCACAAACTGGCTGCCATGCACACCTGCTCGGTTGCTTACGCGCCTGTTACATACTCGCAATTCGTGTAATGCCTCTGCTCAAAGATCCTGTCACCTGCTCTTCGTATCGAGCACCATATACGATTATTCTTACAAAATATTATATAATTTTTATTAAAAAATCACTTATCACACGAGATTGGTAAAGCTTTCCTTTGAAACTGAAATAAATAAAAATAAAAATCGAGGTGTCATATACAGGTCAGTTTTTCGCTTTGGTTCAGTGTCACGGGTCGCGATACGTGAAAAATAGTGCGAAAGAAAAAATAGTATTGCGAAAGGGCATGGAAAGGAAAACGTGTCCACCTGTTCCGACCGACCAAACGAAACACCATTAAATCCGAATTAACTTTCTTAATTTAAACGAATGGTTTTTTACCCGTCGTTGTTACACCGTCATAATAACTCTACTCATTCGTCATCGTTAAGTATCCAGAAAATGCGTTTTCTGTGTTTCGTATCTAAAATCTACAAATTTTTCCGCTTACACGAACGGTAGGGAAAAGTTTATCTAGCAGTTCAGAAATCATTTTGATAGAAGAGATCCTAAAAATTTTGTGTAAAAAATGTATGAAGGTATAATATTATAAAAAAAATCCGTAGTTTGTGAGATATTTTAAATTCAGAAGTGAAATATTCCATACATATTTTAATAAAAATTACTGATTTTTCGATAGTTGGTTGATATAAATACACTTCCGTTGAAAATACACCCACATAGAAGACACACGATACGTTGAAAATAAATCTGATTCAACTGCGTTACGCGTGTTGGTATTCAAAAATATTCTTGAGGAACAAGGAAAAAGTAAAACGTGTTTAACCGTACACACACACGCAAATAATCTGGGTGTAATTTTCAATCTTCCTGGAAAAGAGACACGCCGTGAAATTTGAATGTAAATTTCACCTCTCTTATTTTCCACGAGATTGACTATTATCGAATCACTGGCTATATCATCGGGAGGGAAAAACAGAGCACGCTGTCGGATGCAGCCAAACACTGAAAATACATAGACCGATGTATCTCTACGATAACTTTTCATCGATCTGTATCTTCGATTCGCTGAAATTCGTCGTTTTCGAAACGGCATTCAATTTAGAAACAAAGGAAAAACTATTTTTCCTAGAAAATAATTTGTACTGTCGGGCACGGAATAAAATGAAAATTAGAAAATTAATCTATTCAAAGAATATTAGTACAAATGACTTTTCCTTTCATCCATTTCTCTTCCCCAGCTATAATTTATTCGGCACGAAATATTCTCCAAATTGCATAACATTAGCATTTCCTCGGCTGAAATGTTTAACAGAAATCAATATTCTAAATAAATGAAGCAAACCGGTTCACATACCGAACGTATGTCACTCGATCGCAAAAATTCGATCAGAAAAATGGTTTATTTTAAACGGAAAATGGAAAAAAGCGTTAATTAACCGGGAGTGGATGAAAACTTGGTTGATTAATCGACAATCGCTTAACCAATTTGAATGGTTAAACGGTTAACCATGCAGCATTGCTTCCTATTATTGCGTGGCAAACGAGATTACACGCACAAGCACTTACCAACGAGTATCGATTCAACGATATACGAGACAATTTCGGCTAGAATTTGAATTCGACCACGTAATCCTTTCGCCAGACCGATTGTTCTGTGGTGTCCCGTTAAATCTGGATCTCCTTCGATAAGGAACTTATTCCTACCATAACACGTCCCATACAAAAACCTCGATTTCTGTACATTCCACAGGGTGAATGTAATTAATTAAAATAACGTTAATAACGTTAACGCCAAGAATTCTCCAGAGAATTCTCCTTCCCTATATAGCAAAGATAGATCATCAAGTGTTTCACCCCGAATTCAGAATCCTCTCTACGTTTTTATGAAGCGTGGATCGGAAACAAAATGATTGATCTCTTTTTTCAATAACTTTTTTTTTTCGCTCACGGCGTGCGATAGTCGATTCCTGTTTTTAACGCCGAATACAGGCTGATGTACATCGCAACACGATACTGACATCACACCTGCATCACTGGAAAATACAGTGGCAAACAGAAAACTCGAAAGACAGATCAATTCCGACCAACAGGATTATTTTTCTCTTCTATTTCACGTTCAGTGTACAATCCTGAACGGTTCAATTTTCTACACTGTGCGATAATGTAACTTTGAAAGATGGACAAATTTCATTTGAAATTCATATAAAGGCGGACCATGGAGAGAGCCTCAATTTTCATTCTCTAAATTTCACACTGTTCCTTTAAAAATTATTCTCTCAATGTATGAGACTTTTTCTTATACTCAAAATAATATTTAATTTCAACGAGCCTTGATAACCACCAATCAGATGCGAACAGAAAAGAGATACCCCGGAAGCTGACTTCTCACCCCCCGGTTCTTCAGATTACCCGAACCGTCCTTGATTATTAGAAGTCTCATCTAACGTATATCTTTGCTTCCATAGCCCCCCGGAATTACATCGCGACGATACAAATTTCTATTTCCCCAGCATTTCCCGTTCGCCTTCGAGGGTGCCCTACCCCTCTTCGGAATAATCCTTTCACTCGTTATTTTAATGATCGTAGCCGAACTGAAATCCAGCGCACTTCGATCCTCCAAGGCCTACGGAGGAATTAATGTTTGCCAGCTCCGGCTGTGTTCGTCGAGGCAAAGAAGAGTGAAACGAGAACGGAAGATGAAGAGCAGCGGTGAAAACGAGGAATTGAGAGATATTTGTCCAAGCACGAATCGCACGATCGAATCCTCTTTTTCCTCGCTGCTCGATAATTTCCGCCCCTCGACATCATTAATCCATCTATTTCTTCTGTTTCTTTTTTTTTCCCCCCCTACCTTCGCGAGAGAACTTTGTCTCGACAGCGTTGGAGAGAATAAAATTGATTCTCGAGCAAATTCGTATGGGAACGTCGATTCGGCGGGAGAAGTAATTATCTGTCGACGTAATGCGCTAAACGTGAAACGAAGCGACTCTACGATCATAAAAGCACGGGCTAAGGGATTGAACGATTAAAAGTTTCCCCAAAGTTATCCAACTACAAGTTGCTGCTGGCTCGCTCGAAATACGTTGCTTTCCTACGATATACTTTCAAGAGCAATTTCTACTTGAACAAATTAATCTTGGAATTTTATCGTGATGGAACGTTTGTGCAATATCGAGGAAGGAAAAGTAGGGTAAAACTGGATAGATGGATGAAACTTGGTATTCCTGTTTTTCGGTGATAAGTAGTGGTATTACTTAATAAACTCTTGATCAACCATTCAGAAATTCAGTTAGTTTATCCTTTAAACAATTGAACACAGATATGGTTAAAATTGAATTTTGCTTGAATAAAGATCTTTTGATTAAAATGAATATTTACTTAGAAAACCGGATTTTCGAAAGCATTTTCTAGTAGGGAAAATTTTCAGAGATTTCAAATTAATTCAGATACGATTAAAATCATTTTGAAATTACGAAAATAGAATTCCTTTGACAACACTAGCAACGTTATTTAATAACATATCGAACTATCGAATGCAGAGTCAACATCAAGAAGCACAGCTTTAATTAATTCCAATTTCAATTCGCTTCTAGAGTTACCTATGCAAACAATTCTGACGAGAAGATACTCGCCAACGATTCTACGTGTCTTCGTTTAATTTCTACATTCTCCTGGATTTCCACTTTAACGGGCGCCCAGCGTACCATCCATAGAGTATACGTGCATGGGTCTTCAACGTCGCTATCACTTTGATAAAATTCCATTTGGAATAAACGAATCGAAAACTATCTACACTTAGCGCAATTTACCCTCGGATGGCGGACCATGGAGAGAGCCAAAATTTTAATTTGTTCTACTCGTAGCGTACAAAAATTCTATCGGCAATTCTTTCTGAAGAAAATTCTTCGAAAGATAAAAGGAAAATGTTAAACACCTCGAATTGGCGGAAAAAGTAATTCTCTCAGCTTCGAATGTATCTCTGTGTCGATCAGTCACGAGTAGACGAACACTCGCGTTCTCAGCTTCAAGCTTAACATGTATTATACGTCAAAGACAAAACGGATAAACCGACGATAGTAATTTCGCGCAGTGTACACTAAACGTGCACACACGGAACTTTGGATTGGCACGATTTACTCGAGACAATGGAACACATCCCTCTCGCTCGTCCTTTCAAGCCAGCCCCTAAACGAACTCCCCCACATTTTCCAACGAACAGGCGAAAATTTTCTTTCCAACGATTAATATTCCGAATAATTCTAAAC